TGCCCCACTTGTGTTCTCTTTCACTACAGTATTAGTGTGTGTAGTAGTAGCATTAGCGTGAGTAGTAGCAGTAGTAGTAGTATGAGTAGCAGTAGTAGTAATGTGAGTAGTAGTAGTAGTAGTATTAGTGTGAGTAGTAGTAGTAGTAGTAACAGTAGTAGTATAACAATAATTTACCTTAAAATATCACTGAATTGATCTGTAATCAATGGTGGTTGAACATAAGAATGTGACCTTCCAGTAGTTGTTGCTGTTGGTAATTTCGAATGAGATCTTGGTGATGATAACTCCATTGTTGGCGCTGATGTATTGTATGATTTACATGGATCCGATTGATGAATTGGATATTCAGATTGATTTAATTTCTCAGTTGCATATTGTATAGCGCATAAAACACTTGTAAATGGATTTGATGTTGTAGATGATAATGGCTGTGATGTTTGATCTAGAGGGTAATAAATGAATGACAGAGTGAATATTATTATTATTATTATTATATTACAGGGGTTGTGAATCGATCGATGTTTCTAGTGGTTTCTAGTGGTGGTCTAACATCGACCGATTCATGGTTTCAAAAAATGTGTAACTTAACAATCTTCACAACCCCATAATGCAAATTACCTGTGCTCACTAGTCACTAGCTTCTTCATAAGGAATCTTCTCCGAGTTCTAGTGGGAAGAAGTGACCAGTGAAGTTCAACCTGTTCGGGTGTAGGCAGTGTCTACCGAAGACTGTGTATGAGGTTGCGCAACTCCGTGAATTTGATCAAGTTAGACATTAACACCGTTAGACACCGGCTCAGTGGTCCGATGTTTAGGCGTTCGCCTACAATACCGAAGGTCCTGGATTCGAATCCTGCGGGGTGCATGGGTCGTGGATGCGCGCTGCTGAGGAGTCCCATACCAGGACGAAATGGCCGTCCAGTGCTTCCAGATTTCTAATGGTGGTCTAACATCGATCGATTCATGGTTTCAAAAATGTGTATTATTGTTATCAACAGATTTTAAGGTATCATTGAAGTTATGAACTGACCAACGTTAGACAACCATTATAAAGTCTGGAAGGATCAGATGGTCGTTTTGACTTAGTCGAGGACAGATCAACAGTGAACATCCTCAACTCTGCTTACTGGAATCGAAAAACAAAGACCTCCAGTCTTGTACACAAGTGCTTAATCTACTAATCACTGAGTCACCAAACAATGCCGATCAAGTCTAACTTTATTGGTTTATGATTTTAATGAAACGTAACAATCTACAGAACCCTATAATTGAAATCATCAAAAGGTGCTCATTAGTAATGAGATTCGTGAGGAAATTATCGTAGTTCTAGTGGAGTTCAGCAGTGTTGGCTGCAAGGTACTCACCGAAGACAATAAATGAGGTCATGCAATATTGTGGATTGACTTAAGTCAGAGATTAACAATGTTAAAAAGCTCAAACATTACGGAGTTTTGAAGATTGTTAAGTTACACATTTTGAAACCATCAATCGATCGATGTCAGACCACTACTGGAAACCTGGAAGCACACTGATAGACGGCCGTTTCGTCCTAGTATGGGACTCACCAGTGACAGTGCGCATCCACGATTCCTGCAACCCTCAGGGTTCGAACCCAGGACCTTCGTTCTTGTTCGATTCTGGAGTCTTATACTAACATCAAAATGGCCATCCAAATCTTCTAAGTTTCTAATGATAATCTGACATTGATCGATTTATGATATCAATGACACGAAACAATTTCTACAACCTCATAAAAATCATTTAATAGGATATTTACTTGTTTACAGTCGGTTGAATCAATACATTTACCTTTGCGTTAATCATTTATTGATAACTATTGTTATATTTGTTAAGTTGCTTTGATTGCCTTATCGAATTTTTACTCATCAAATTGCAGTTTGTCAGTTATTGATCTAAACAATTTTACATTATATGTACAATGTTGAAATGTTAGATGATTGAAAAGACTTTTTTTTGTAAACAACCTTTAATTATTCTGTAATTTTTGTTCTGATTACAAAGTACAATTCATTGGTTAGGTGTAATGACACCATGTTGTTGATGTTCATTCCTATAATGGATAATGTGAGTTGACATTTGAAATGGAAGGTATTGGGTTGGAGTCCCTCAGCTACGACCAACACCATGATATAGGTACGAGTATGAAATAACTCGAACTGTGACTCTCGAGAATCTTACTTCTAGCCACTCCGATTAAAATGAATAGTTTAAATAACTGTATATAATCTTAGCGTAAAATTGATATTCCTTTGATTAAAACTGAAATATCTTCAGCAAACGGTCAAGTGCATACCTGGATAGTGGCTAGAAGTAGAATCTGGAGATTTATCTTTAGCTGGATATACCCGTATCTTACAGTTGATGTTCACTCCAAAACTGGAACCCAAGACCTTACGCTTTAAACACCATCATGTTATCTACTACCTATGGATTACCAAGCTGGCATTCGATGATATTGATTTCTAACTTTGAGGACTTTGTGAAACCTATGTACTATAACCTATTAGAAGCTTTGATGTGTTTCATTTAGTTTGGACAATTGTGTTTTGAAACCGCAGTTCTGTATTCTCATCAATCAACAAATTATGGTCTTGCTCGCAAACGCTTAACCTCTGGAAGACTGGGTCGGTGGCATCCAACAGTGATAATGCCTAGTTCTGATCAGTCTAAGCATTTTGCATTGTCTTCGGTAGGTAACTGCCTACACATGACAGGGTTGAACTCCACTCGTCACGTCTTTTCATCACTAGGACACGGAGAATTCCCTCACAAAGCTAGTCATTAGTGCTTCCAAAGTTTCTAATGGTGTTCTAACAATGATAAAATCACAATCTCAATGTATAACTTTCCATCGTTCATAGCTTTTCCTAAATGTAGGTTTTTAGTGATTACTAAGAACTTTCAGAAGTCTTGATATGTTTCCTTTACACATTTGAAATCATCAGACAATAATTGTCAGAAAACCATTAGAAACCTGCAAGCATTCGACGGTTTTTTCGTCCTGGTATGAGACTCATCAGTGACAGTGCGCATTCATGACTCGTACACCTGACAGGATTCGAACCCAGAACCTTCGGTCTTACGCGCGAATGCTAAGCTCCGGACCACTGGGCCAGCATCGAACAGTGTTTATGTCTAACTCTGATTGATCTAGGGATTTTGCGTGACCTCACCTATTTGTCTTTGGTAGATAACTGCCTACACCTGACACGGTTGAACTCCACTGGTCACGTCTTCTTACTAGAAGTCGAAGAATTTCCTCACGAAGCTAGTCACCTATTGTTTCCTTTAGTTTGGACAATTGTATTTTGAAGCTGAAGTGGAGTTTACCTTCACCGCGCAGTTCTTTATCTTCATCAATCAATAAACTTATCATTTTACACTACTTCTCCAATCAAAAAAATGAAAAACGATCTGGTGAAAATTACCATTAGAAAAAAAATCATGTGTATGTCACATGTGATCACATGTTGATTAATTTGGTTACTAGATGGTATGTGTTTGTGAATTTTTTTTTCCGAAATGTACACTACAGGTCCCATACACACAAGTACACACGTGCTTCCACAAAATTATACATACACGAAAAATTTCTTTGTTCTAATTAAGTACGATAATCAGATCATCAGGTGATTGTAAACTTTTTTTAAAAAAAAAAACCTTGCAATAATCTATATAAATTGAAAATCTTTTATTGAGTTCATTTTTAATTGACCGATCTAATTTATGACAAATAAGTGGATTTTTCATTATATGGTATGGTGGATATTGTTGAGCTATATGGACAATATCACTAGTAGAAAACTGGTACTAGGGGGTGTAGGAAGGATTTGATGTTGACCAATTGTGAGTCTCGTGTGTTGTTACGGGTATGAGGGCGGTTGTCACTTCCCGGCTGCCCAAACTGTGGAAGGTTGTTTCTTGGGGTACCTGAAAAGGAAGATAGATTAGTGTTGGTCTTAGAGACCTAGGTACGTGACCGCAGAACCCAAGGGACAACTGCTTGAGGCCAGTCACGCACGGCCTTTTGATGAAAGGTTTTTTTAGTAATAGCTCCGCTCTTGAAAGCCCTTAGTGGGCACCTTTACCCAAGGAGACGGAAATCCGTGAGGTAGGATATTTTTAGGGCCGACCTTTTCTAACCCTTTCGTTCCTTGTGAGAAGGCAGCATCGCTGCAGATGCTGGTTGTCCGAGGGAAACATCTTACTGCTATCACACCCGTTCATCACAGCCAGCAGTACGACTTCGCCCTCAGACCTTCAGTATCTGCTTTTAGTCTCATCGTTCTCCAATCGGTCTGCCTGGCATGGTAGAACCTTCAGGAACATATGTTCCAGCCAGCATAGCTCAGTTGGGTCATCACGATAGGCAAGCTTGACCACCACGTCAAGGTAGCAGCTACGGTCGGGACTTCCTTAGGTTACTAGTCTTCGATCATCGATGTCTCCGAAGCATTGCTCGTGTATCATGGGACAACCGTACAAGCAATGCTGTCGTTAGGAAACGAGTTCTACGTAGGGATGGCAAATCAATAGATGAAGTACTGAAACTTCATCATTTGAGGTGGTTGGGACAGGTGTTACGTATGCTTAACCACCGACTGCCGCGACGAGCTATGTTTTGCAGTGTAGGAGTAGGTTGGAAGAAAACTAGGGGCGGCCAAACCAAAACATGGCAGAAATCCATGAAGTCATTGACTAGTGGACTGAGTCATGTTGGCAGATGTAGGCTACCTGGTTGGGGTCCGCGAGACGAAAGTCATCAATGGTTAGAGACCTTGAACGACATGGCTCAAAATCGTTTGCAATGGCGCAGGTGCATCCACTGTTTGTGTTCTATGAAATCCTAAGCTTCTGAATTCCTCATAATCTCTACCTTTCACCTTCTAAATTTATCTTACTGAATTATACTTCTCGAATCATATCTTCGCTCCCTAATCTTCTCCATTACTGCTAATACCTCTATTATTGCTATCAGTCTTGGATTCGAACTGACAGTTGCGTCTCTGTGCTGATGGGGCATGGCAACCTGAACTGATGTACTCATGTACGAAGTTCTGCGTTGTATCTGTCTACTAGAAAACTAGTAGCACTGGACGGCTGTTTTGTCCTAATATGGAACTCATAAGAATTATACATCTGTGATGTCCGTACACAGTAGTCGAATTCAGGACTTTTAATCTCAAGCATGTGGAAGTTGTGGATGGGCACTACTTATGTGTTCCATAAACTAGGACGTAATCATACCGGGTATGTACAATATCATGAATTGATTCAAGTGTAGATATTAACACCGCTAGATGTTGTTAGTTCAGTGGTTTAGAGGTTAAGTGTCTGTGCCTGAGACAGAAAGTCCTAAATTCAATTCCTGAGGGCAGGGATCGTCAATGTGCACTACTAATGAGTCTAATACTAGGATAAAACGAGATCGTCCAATACTTCCAGATTTCTAATGATGATTTAAAATTGATCGATTCATGATTTTAATGGAATAAAAATATTTTTTAAAACTAGTGGTGAAACGTCATCAGTTGAGGTGGTTGGGACATGAGTTACGTATGGCTAACCACCGACTGCCTCGACGAGCTATGTTTTGTGGTGTAGGAATAGGCTGGAAGAAAGTTAGGGGCGGCCAGACCAAAATATGGAAGAAATCCATGAAGTCACTGACTAGTGGACGGAGTTATATTGGTAGATGTAGGCTATCTGGTTGGGGTCCGCGAGACGAAAGTCACCAATAGTTAGAGACCTTGAATGACATGGCTCAAAATCGTTTGCAATGGTGCAAGTGCATCCATTCGTTGTGCTCTCTCAAATCCTTAACTTATGGATTCGTCAGCACCTCTACCTTTGTATTTCTAACCTTATCTCATTCACTGAATTATACTTCTTGAATAATATTTTCAAACCCTAGTCTTCTTCATTACCATTAATACCTCTAATATCTTTATCACTATGGGATTTGATTTGACATTTGCGTCTCTGTGTTAATGTGGTACGGCAACATGAACTTATGTACATACGTACGAAGTTCTACGTTGCAACTGACTGACTGACTGAGTACACACATACTGAAGAACAGAACTTATACATAAATTTTACCGTATCAATGCAATTTTTTGTTTGAAAATGAAAAAAAAAACTCATTCTTTTTCTCAACTTCTTTAGCTTTATCTGAAATTCATTCATATATTCAGTATGTAAGAGTTCCTTTCCTGTTATCATTACTCAGCCTTATTGTTACTGACTGACTTATCATAAAAATATTCTTATCATTTGAATACGTTTTACAATAATTATAAATGACAACACTTCTGATAGTATGATATATATATGGATAGTATGCAAATTGATTTTTAATGAATTTCTGACCTTTGAACGAGATGATAGTAATTTTGAAGAAAACTTGCCTACTTACTACAGGAGTCTACAGACAATTATAAATAAATTAGTGTAAGAATTTTAGAATTGAAGTCTAAAGTTTGAAGATAGGGGTTAAAAATTACAATTAGAGTTCATTTTACGAACTAAGGTCAATTATAATGCTAAAATGCTTTTTAATCAAATGCACGAATGAATTTCGCGCCAAAATTCAAAACTCCTCGCTATCTTAAATCTGATTGGTTCATTGATAAAAGTTATAGTTTCATCGAATAAACCAAGTCAGTAGACAAAATTTAAAATTCAATTTTTAACCAATCATCTTTTAGCAAAATTAGTGTACTTTTTTTTACAATAAACTAAGTCAAAAAGTCATTCCTATCTGTTGACATGATGATGTTATATAGTTAGGTAAATAAGAGTTCATATGAATGACAGAGCAGTTAGCTTGTTTGAAGAATAAGAGAAATAGAAAACTATTGTTACTTTCAAAATGATAACGAATTTTGTTTACACTCTCTCCCTCTCTCACACACACACAAACGTTTATATATATGTAGTTATGTCCATAATCAAGTGCGCACAAATTGTTTACAACATAACAATTATCGGATGATCTCGTTTTCTGACAATCATATCCTTAAATAAGAATAATTTTATACAAAAGTGAAAAAAAGGTAGTAAATCAATTCTAGAGGATTAATGTATGAACATCCAAAGAAAAAGAAAGAGGAATACTACTATAAATTAATAAGTAGTTTTGAATATTATGTATCAAGATAGCTTCCCAGAAACCTCTATAAGCATCAAATCCAATCATACAGCTAGATAGGATTTCTAGAATATCAATGTGATAGGTGTGTAATGTTGTTAACTAGTTATGGAGTGTATGATTTCAGTAATGATGATGTTTTCATGCTACATCTTAGAGTAAACCATTTTACTTGTACTTCATGCTTTGTCTGTTTGAGTTACAGTGTAAATTTATGGAGGTAGGCTTATTCGAAGCAGATAAGGAAATCAAAATTTACAGTCGTTTAACAGATTTATCTCATTTACGATAAGCTGTGATTGTTCACTTGTGTTTAGCCTAGATTTCGACTATTTTCTTTTATAAAATTTGATTGATTGATCAATCAATAGTAGTGTAGTGGATATTACTTACAATATGTCTTATAATAAGTAGTATGTAACAAAGTGTTACAAAGAAATTACTATGAAACAGAATAATCTCAAATACGGATATATGACGCGATCAGCGGGCTTTGAAAACTTGAAGATTACAACTAATAACCAACTGGTATTGAAAATGAAAGTCAAATGATTAGATGTAGACATTTCGATAGTTTCTTCATTAAAGTAATCACTTATCTCATCTGGTCTTAACTTATTCATTTGTTACAGTAATCAATATAATAATATTTGACACTAGTTTTATTCTTAAACTCATCAAGTCACAATATAACTCCGCCTGAAGTCATTCTAGGGTTACTGTCAGTCCCAAGGACGGATAGAGGAAGAGGGTTAGGCAGGAGGTTAGTGACCCTATCCAGGAGAAATGCAACCCACTAAAGAAATAGCTAATCAGGAAAATAATTCGCAAGTTAGGGGGCTGTTCACCATTAGGAGTAACTGGCGTAAGTATATTATATATTTCTGATGTTATGAGGTTTAAAATAAACTGTTTTTGATAAATGTTTAGAATGAATATCCATTTGTCTCTAATCATGAGAGTGTTGATGTATTTCGTAAGATTCGAACCAAAAAAATATTCAAAATTACAATAAAAAGTGTTTTTTTCATCATAGAGTTGAGGAGATTCTTGAATTTCATTGATATCATAAATCGATCAGTCTTTGACTAGCTTGAGGAGCAAATTGTCGGATTTCTAATGAGGAGCGGTGATCAGTGGAGTTCAACTATGTTAGGGTGTGACACAATCGTCCACCGAATACAATAGGCGAGGTCACGCAATATCGTGGATTGATTGGAGTTAGACATTAACATCGTCGATGCCAATTCAGTGGTCTAGAAGTTAAGTCTTGGCGCGCAAGACCAAAAGTCTTTGAAGCGCACTACTGATGAGTCTCATACAGGGACGAAATAGTCATTCAGTGAATTTCAATAAAACATGTTACTACCACTTAGCTATTCTTGTTTTTCAAAATTATACTTTAAAAAAACATCGAATACTCTGAACGATTATTATGGAATCTATAGGTTCTAAATAAAAATAAACTCCACTTTGTATTATCATCAAAATGTATCAGAGTCAGGAATATAGATCATGTTTTCATTCATGCAATAAACTGTACATATCTTGGAATAATTTTATCATACAACTGATTCGACGCGTGACGTTTGCTAATGTCTTAATTTTTCTGTCATCATGACTTACTTTAGTTAGTTAGTTAGTTGCAACGTGGAACTTCGTACGTATGTACATCACTTCAGGTTGCCATACCACATTAGCACAGAGACGCAAATGTAAAATCAAATCCCATAGTGATAAAGATAGTAGAGGTATTAATGGTAATGAAGAAGACTAGGGTTCGAAGATATTATTCAAGAAGTATAATTCAGTGAGATAAGGTTAGAAAGACAAAGGTAGAGGTGTTGACGAATCCAGAAGATTAGGATTTGAGAGAGCACAACGAATGGATGCACTTGCACCATTGCAAACGATTTTGAGCCATGTCATTCAAGGTCTCTAACCATTGGTGACTTTCGTCTCGCGGAACCCAACCAGATAGCCTACATCTACCAATATGACTCAGTCCACTTGTCAGTGACTTCATGGATTTGTGCCATGTTTTGGTATGGCCGCCCCTAACTTTCTTCCAACCTACTCCTACACCACAAAACATAGCTCGTCGAGGCAGTCGGTGGTTAGGCATTCGTGACACATGACTTGCTTTACTACGCGTAAGACTTTCCTTCATTTATATCTATCTGTAAGCAAACCTCTATTGACTACTGTGAACAATAGAATCTTTGATATGAAAATAATAATGCCCGCTTCATTCTGATTGATTGTAAGAAATATGACGTCAAAATATCGAACGACAATGAAGCTTACCTCCAATCACAAGAATTACATATATTCTTCTATTCATCTATCAAGAAACTAAACACTATTCACCGTCAAATCGGTAAAAAACCTAATCAAAATTATATATGTACTAGTTCAAATTAAATTTATATTTTAAAAATGAATATGACCACCAAACTTTACTTGTGAAAATGTACACATTGTCAATCGATCAATAATTTTTTTATTGTCAAATGTGGAGCATTCGTTTCGTGGTAGCAATGAACCAATCAGAATTGAGATAGTAACTTCAAGGTCATAGCTAATCAAACAAATTAGTAGTACATCGGGCGAAAACTTTTATGTTATCGTTCATCATTTTTTTTAGAAAAAAAAAACGCTGTTAAATGTTATCAATATTGTAAAGGTTAAATTTTTTTTTAGTTCGGTTAGCATGATTAATAATCAATATTTTCTGAACTTACTATTAGTCACAGTAAAATTTGAAGTTACTGGTAAATGATGATGATGATGGATAGTTGATCGATACAGCGTATATTGACCACATAATGGACATTCATAAAGACGAAATAAACCTTCAATAAATGATTTATGCAATGGTGAATCATTGAAATTTGAAAGAATCGATAATGATGATGAAGATGTTGCAGGAGGTGGTGGTGAATTGGTTGTTGAATTGATTGTATCAAATAATGATGATGATGGTGATGTTTGTGATGTTTGTGATAAAGAATGTTGGAAAGAATTATTTAATAAATGACAATAAAAATCACAACATGTATCCCAATGTTCTAAACATTTTCTGTGTATTGGTCCACCTAGAATAGTTTTTTAAGGAAGAAAAAAATAAAATATATAGTTATTTTTGGACATCAACTCAAAAAAAAAGTAAGGAAATTATTTTACATTTGAACTGTGGTGTGCGCTACTACTGATAAGTAGTATATGACGTGAGTGGAAAACGTAATGTCTGGCAGCAGAAGATGGGGGAAGATCAAGAAGAAAGGAAGAGTGGGAACACAATGGAATTTGTATGAAACGCATGAATAGTGAGTGAAATATCAGACAATGGATTGATGATGGATTGAAGATTTGCAAATTAACGAGTTATGATATGGTTTTTCCCCTATTTTACTGAGTAACTCTGCAATTTTCGCTGAATACAATTCGGTTCCCCTCACCTGTGTTCTCCTTCACTACAGAACTACTAGGAATGGTAAAGAAAATGTGGAAAGTAAAGAAAATTATACAGTTTTATTTGAATATCAAAGAAAGGAGATCTTAGAAGAATCTGGAATATCAGTGCTCTAATTGTTCAACAATAATTTAAGATTGTTAAAGTATAGTCTGAACTCATGAATCAGGCATTGTTGTTAGACCAGCATTTGAAACATGGAAGCACTGGACGGTTGTTTCGTTATGATATGGGACTCATCAGTGGCAGTGTGCATCCATGACTCCTGCATCTCGCAGGTTTCGAACCCGGGTCCTTCGGTCTTACAGTCGAACGCCTAACCTCTGGACCATTTGTCCGTCATCCAACGGTGTTAATGTTTAACACTGATCACTCTACAGATTTCTCATGACCTCATCCATTTCTCTTTGGTAGTTACTGCCTAAACTTGACAAGGTTGAACTCCACATTTAAATCATCCAGAGGTTAGGCGCTCACGCGTAAGACCGAAGGTCTTGAGTTCAAATCCTGCAAGGTGCAGGAGTCGTGGATGCGCACTGTCACAGACAAATCCCATACCAGGACGAAACGTCCGTCTATCTGTGTGCTTTCATGTTTCTAATGGTGGTCTAACAACAATGATTGATTGATGATTTCATTGTTCGAAAAACACTAATCTCCATAATTCTCAATGAAAAATAGTCTTAACTATTTTCTAAGATGATTTACTCTACAAAAAAAAGAATACTTATCTATCTCATTTTCATTAGTCAGTGATAATTCATAATTAAACTGATCACAACAAAATAAAATTTGTGTAGTACTTTATGCAGTTATCACAGGAGAATTTGTGAAACTTCATTCTATGTAAGGAACTCGTTAACTGGATACATCTTTATAGCACAGTATGAACCTAGTTCCTTTCGATTAGATCCCCGGAACTTGCTAGATAAATGTTCTTATTTTGGATTTTATTTATGGGCTGATCAGTTGACCTTGAGATCACATTTCCCACCAGGAAAATCCTTGACTGTGACTGGTTACTGTGTTATTTTAGTGTACTATTTTGTGACTCTACAAAGGACGTCTCTATGGTGCATAAATTTTCGCGATTTTTGTGCTTGGATTCAATGTGTGCTTCCTGGGTGTTTGTAGATTACAATTTCTACGCTATGTCAGGACTTCTTGTTAGTATTGTTAGGTCAACGGATAAGAGTAGACTACCTGGACGCTGGATCATTGTTTTATTCTCGTTATTTGACTAAGGTGAACCTGTAATAGTCTTAAACATACCAAGAGACGAGTGTAACATAGATCAAAACTAAACTTATTATGTGAAAGCTTGTTAGACCTAACTGGGAACACTCAGCACTAAAATAAAAGAGGTAGCCCAAAAAACACACTACACTGAGAATTGAAGATAGGCACGAAGAGAATGAATAGTGATTGGGCAGAACTGCATAAGAAGGACTAGGATAGAGTAAGTTAGGGGATAACAGCTAGGTGGCTTATGCTCATTAGGGATAATAGGAGTAATTAAGTAAGTAAGTATGTATATCCAATCACTTTATACGAATCTAAAACATAAACAGTCATTGTAAAAATGTACACTATTAGAAAATGTGATATTTGTCTAAAATATTCCTAAACTTATTCTCACAGCTTCATTCACGTTTATCACTCTCCGGATTACGTGTATGCAATGAAACGCGGAATTTATCTAGTAGTGATCAATGCCATGCACATCGAATGCTTCTTAATGCTAATCGAATTCTGTCGACTAAATTTTAATGTAGACAGTAGTCTAAATGACTTGAAATCATGTATACTCAATGAAGGTGGAAGGTAATGGCTTAAATGGGGCAATCGACAGATTCCTATCAGCGCTAAGACACATTTGACATCCATGACATTAGTCACTACTTAATGCGTGATACAGGATCGAATACGCTAACGAATAGAATCAATCCTCTCAAGGTTACAGGTCCTGCCAATTGCCTGCAACTACTCACTCTACCTTACTGGGAATTGAACTTGACTACAGACCTCAGAATAATCCCTATTGTATTCGACTAATTATCTAACGACCTTGCATTGGAATTCATTCAAAGAACCACATTATCGACAGAAAATTTATATATCAGCTAGAGACAGAAGAAAAATACAACCCTCTTTATTGATGATGAATCATTGGGGTTTATTTTGGCAATATCCTACTTTCATCCCATCTTTATATTGTATTGATTGAGCATTTGACCTTTGGACACAATATGCGCCCAATTTTTTGAAAAAATAACCTTTCACAAACAAACAAAAAATTTCGGCTCTACACCATAAACTCTAACTGAAGAAAAAACTAACAGCACTTGTAAATACAAACAAATTAGGCTTAAATCTAGGTTGATTGATAGATAGACAGACTAAAAATATCGTAATTATTCTATTGGTCAACTAAAAACAAGGATAAAAAAAATGGTAGTGTATGGACATGTGATCTAATATAATTCACTAGTTTTAGAAAAGAGTAAACCACACACATAAAAGTTCAAATGACATCACACACCGAGAAAAAAAAAATAAAAACACACCTATACACACATATAAGTTCAAACAACATCGTACAAGGAGAGAGATAAGAACAAACATACACATACACACACACACACTACGAACACACACTCATAAGACACACATCGAAAACTTTCTTTGGACAAGTGATGAATAAACAAAGAGCATCTTGTACAGAAAAAAAATGGAGAATGAAAAAAAGGATTGACCTTAAACTTGGCTTATTTAGGGTAAAGGACACACACACACATTTCATGCATGATTCATAGAGAAGAGTAGTAGTAATAGTAGTACATAACTTTTTGGGAATATTTATACACTTAATTTGTACTGTTGATGATATCGAAATCGAATTTCTAATAATGAAGAAGAAGAAGGAGAAAAGCTTGTACTTTTCATAATAAATTATGATGTAAAAAAAGTATAAGTGTACAATACTGAAGGAAAAGGTTATTGTACTTTATCATATAAAATAAAATATGATAAAAACAATAATTTTGATAAAATTGAAAGGTTGATGATAATACCTCACTAGAAATTATGAATTGATTAATATTAGACCATTATTAGAAATCTGTAAGCACACTGATAGACGACAACCGTTTTGTCCTGATATGGGACTCATCAGTGGTAGTTAGCATCCACGACTCCTTCACCTCGCGGGATTCGGACCCAGGACCTCCGGTCATACGATCAAGTTCTAGTGAGAAGACGTGACCAATGGAGCTTAAACCTATCGAGTGTAGATAGTAACTACTAAAGATAAATGGATGAGGTTGAGCAAAAACTTAGATTGATCAGAGTTAGACTTTAACACCAGTGGATGTCGGCACAGTGGTCCAGAGGTCAAGCGTTCGCACGAAATGCCGACAGTCTTAGGTTAGAATCCTGCAAGTAGTGGTATTTGTAGATGCGCACTGCTGATGACGAGTCCCATACAGGAACGGAACGGCAGTCTTTCGGTGCTTCCAGGTTTCTAATGGTGGTATAACGATGACTGATTCATGATTTCTATAATAATACTGATAGTTTGTAACGTAAAAAAAATTCAGTCGAGATTATTCACAATGACTTATTCAATGTGTTCAGTGTAGCTATGTGCGCGAACGCATAACCTTCGAACCACTGAGAGAGAAATCACCACACAGAAGAAGTAAATAGCAGAAAAATATTCTTTTCAATAAATTCTCTTCAGGTTATACAGTTATTAATTGAAAAATTATTAATCTCAAAATAGTAATAGTGATCATTTCAACATTTGCATTAAGGGGTTGTGAAGATTGTTAAGCTACACATTTTTGAAACCATGAATCGATCAATGTTAGTAGACCACCATTAGAAACCTGGAAGAACTGGACGGCCATTTCGTCCTGGTATGGGACTCCTCAGCAGGCGTTCGCCCACAATACCGAAAGTCCTAGGTTCGAAACCTGCGGGGTGCAGGAGTCGTGGATGCGCACTGCTGAGGAGTCCCATACCAGGACGAAACGGCTGTCCAGTGCTTCCAGGTTTCTAATGGTGTTCTAACATTGATCGATTCATGGTTTCAAAAATGTGCATTTCAATATTAACGATTTTTACTAGCAACAATTCACCAGCATTTCTGAACAATGTATTTTTTTGTCTGAATGTAGAGGAATGTGACAGTGGTAAGGTATTTCCGTCGGACAACCAACACCTACAGTGACGGTGTCTTCTCACAACGGAAGGAAGAGGTTAGAAAAGGTCGATCCCAAAAAATTTCACACTTCACCTTATCTCATGGATTTGTGTCTTCGGTGGTAACGCCTTATGAAGAGTGTAGCTAACACGTTGAAAACAACAACACATAGAAAAGCCCCGAGCAGTTATCCATTTCGCTCTGCAGTCACTCCTTGAAATTGCCAAGACCAATACTAACTCAGCTTATTTTTCAGGTCTCTCAAGAAGAAATACCCTTCCATGGTGTGGGTAACCAGGAAGTGAGGACCTCCCTTATAACCAAAACAACACAACAGATCAACTTGCACACACTCAAATCCTTCCTCAACCTCTTAATAACTTTCTTTTCTTCACAACTAACGTTTATCACTTCGC